GTGTCCGCGTCAATATCTCCGATCGGGGCCGATCAGCTTTCGACCTTCTCTTGCCCTTCAACCATCATCAGACACTGACAGTCAATATGCGTGCGGGGGCTAATACCACACCGGGCAACCTCGACGATGAGCGCAAAACGCTGATCAGGATTGCAAGCGCGTACTGTTATCTGACAAGCCGCACTCACCATTCGGAGTGCGAATGGTCGTTCACGCCTCGTATATGAATGCCAGTCTACGAATGTGGTTTCAACAACAGCCATGTACCTACAGGTCGTATACTTAACCCTCAGTGCGTTTTCCAAGGATTTTTCTTCGTGGCGTTGTACTCATTTAACATGCAGTCTATGTTGTTTGCTATGGATTCTACCGCCTGTATCTCTACCCGCGCTACTTTTCACCTCTTCGCTCCATCCCCGGGCCTCCCCTTGGATCCGTCATTGCAGGTCAATTCGGTGTCATGCTGCGGAATGAGGCTGGCATCCCCCAGCGAGAATGGGTCAAGACCCATGGACCCGTTGTCCGTGTGGTTGGCCCTGTGGGTATCGAAAGAGTGATCTTCACGAGCCAGGAGGCGCTGTCCAAGATTCTAGTGAACTCGGTTGATTATCCACGAGTCCGTTCCGCTTCTATGTATCTCTTCAACTTGCTTATGATTCTTTAGCCCGGCTTTATGCGCAACCTTCTTGGGACTATTACGGGATTTGGGCTATTGACTTCTGAAGGCAAGGAGCACCGACAGATGAGACGTGCCGTGAATCCTGCTTTTGGGCTTCAGCAGCTTATACGTCGTAAGTCGACTTTCAAGATACTTTGAGACTAATCTAAAGTGCCTTTCCAGAGGTCGATATGTATTACGAGCCAATCGAAAGGTACCTGATACTCTAATGTACCAGCTGGTCTTACCGACGCCCAGCCTCATTGACATCGTCAAATCCCAAATCGATGCGGAGGTTAAACCCGGAAATGGCAAAGTTTTCCTCATGTATGAATGGGGTGCGTCGGCTCATGACCTTGATTCTATCGAGTTCCAACCTTCGTTGTAGTCGGCAAAGTGACGTTGGACATAATTTGTTCAACTGCTTTTGGTTACAGTACAGACTCCTTACGCAACCCGCACAACGAGTTGGCACAAGCCTACGCGGGACTCGTCAATGTCCATTCTGGTCGGAAACTTGCGATTGGGCTAGCAATTCACGCTCTGCCTGGCGCGACGCGTCTCTTCGCGTCGGAATGGATGTATAGACGCCGTTGGATTCTTCGTCAGATTCCATTTCTCAGTGTGTGGGTCACTCTTCGAACATATCACGTCTGATGTGCTGCAAACAGAATTTACTGAGACCATGATGGACTGCATGCGCCGTATCAAGGCTGTGTCCGCAAAGCTTCTTGTACAAAAGATTTCTGACGCCTCTACGGTATCTGACATCGAGTCAAAGAAGGATATTATGTCCATCCTTTTACGTGCAAGAATGTCAGGTGGCGAGAAGGACAACGATGGATATATGCTGAGCGATCAAGCAATGATGAGCCAGGTGTTGACTTTCTTAGCCGCTGGACATGAAACGACGGCCAGTGGAGTTTCGTGGGTCTGCCTTCCTCAACTGTAAAATTGTGATTGCTTGCTCATGGCTGGCCTTGAAGACCCTCTGGTTATTGGCGAGCAATCCCGAAGCGCAAACCAAGCTCCGACAAGAGGTCAAGCCCGTCTTTGAACAACTCAACGGCCGTCCAGACTACAAGGCTCTCAAGGATATGCAATGGCTCGACGCTGTCGTGTGCGAGTTCATTGTTTCTCCTTATTGTCTCCCGCCTGATCTTCCTGTAGCATGGAATCCCTGCGCATCCTCCCTCCCGTTCCAATGACCATCAGGTGCGCAAACAAGACGGACTACATCGACGGCACGCTCATACCGAAGGGGACTCTCCTATACATCCCTATCCGCGTCGTAAACACGTTGACGACGGTCTGGGGAGAGGATGCGGAGGAGTTCAATCCGATGCGTTGGATGGATCCAGGAATGGTCGGGAAAGGGAGGATGTTGACGTTTTTGGAGGGCCCGCATGGGTGCATCGGGAAGACGATGGCGGTGATGGAGATGAAGGCGATAATTGGGTTAGTTTCAATGAAGTCTTTCTTCCAAGGGACGAACATTGACGTCTTGTTTCCTTTCAGAGCGTTGATCGCCAAGTTTGAGTTCACGCCTGGAGTCGAGGGACAGGTTGCTGTCCCGATTGCTGCAGCCACGATGAGTGCGTTTGAATGAACTCAAACCCGTCGCGGTTGACTGATTCGTTCTCTTTAGAGCCAAAGGATAGTATGCCGTTGAGAGTCCGGCGTGTATCATAAGTGTGTTTTTGTCAATGAACTGCCCTCAAACTTTTAGCGACGACAAATGAGTGTTTAGCGCCTAATTGTACCGCTCATTGATGCTCGTGACATTGCAATCAAGGTTCTCCCGGGGCAGCCTCATGTCTGCGCTCAGTCCCCACTTTCTCACCCACACTTCCCTATTTTCTCTCACGCGATCTTTCCCACAACGAGCATGCCCTCGTTTTCTTGCGCTCGCTCTGCATGTGCGGGGTGGACCTTCACCTCGGAGAGAGCGCTTAACGAGCACTGGGAAGAATCGCCGGACCATCCGTATTGCAAGATGTGCTGCCTGCGGTTATCCACCGAAGCAAAGCTAGACTATCATAACCACTCACAACACCCGTACTGTGGTGAGGACGATCGCCATTTCGGATCGAAGGAGGCGTTTGTGCAACACTGCAAAGCTAAGCATAGCGCCAGGTTCTGTGTTGATTGTGAGGCGTTGTTTGGGAGTGAAGCGGATCGTCGCGAGGTGAGCACGTTCACTGCTTGATCGTTGGGAAGGCAGTATTGACGGTGGGCGAAGCATTATTTTGACAGCGACAAGCATGCGGCTTGCAATATCTGCAGGAAGGGCTTTCGGTCCGATGACAACCTGATTGCGCATTTCAAGTCGAAGGCGAATGAAGGACATTATATTTGCACCCTATCAACCTGTGCTCAGAGTATATTTGAGAGTGCGGAAAGTCTGCTTGATGTAAGTCGATTACGTGCTGTATCTACGCTTGATGACTGATCGCAGTATCAGCATTATGTTCGACATGCCAGCGCGCACTTTTATTGTGTTGAGTGCAAGACCAAGTTTGCTCATGATTATGCTATCGAGCAGGTTCGTCCGTAAGGCTCTCATCGAACGACCTGAATGTTGGTTCTTCAGCACATGAATGCCGCTGCTGCTCACAAAACGTTGACTCACGACGATTCGACGAATGAAGGGTTCTACTGTACACCCTGCCAGCGCTCGTTCTCTAGTGAGTTCAACAAGCGCCGACACCTCGCGACCAACACGAGGCACAACTATTGCTTCCAGTGCTCTAAAGATTTTGAGAGCGAGCGTGCCCTCGAAGTGGTACGTACGCACGCACTGGGAGACTGCGAATATTCTGAATGTCATCCAGCACAAAAAGTCCTTTGCACACAAACCACGCGATATCGCGTGTCCATGCGGCTGTGACAAGGCGTTCAAGCTGCGATCTAGCGTCCTAGCCCATCTCGCGTCGGGCCAGTGCGCCAACTCGCCCGGGGTTGGAAGGCGCGAAGTCAATGCGTCTGCGTGTTCAGCTGGTATTCCCGGTGTTATCCCGAATCCGACTGGTGGCACTTATGAAAGGAATTGGCCTACGGTTGCGTCTGAGCGTTCCTATAACTCTGCAAAGAGGGCGTATGAGTGTTTCTTATGTGAGAAGGAATTCCGTCTCCTCGATTCTTTGAATCAACACCTTACTTCTGGGGCGCACGAACGGGCGCAGTATCGGTTAGTAGTAGCATATGAATGACAATTGACTCGCCCCTGATGCATGGTACTAGGTGCACGACTAAGCGCTGTGGGCAAGAGTTCAGAGGACTTTCGGATTACGTTCGACACCTTGAAGACGAGGTATCGTCTGATAAAGACAAGTTCAGAAGGTTGAAACAGATGTCTGGTAGTTGGACACAGAGGATTATGGATAATTTGGGATGAAGGGCCAGAGGGTACTGTATGGAATATTTGCCACTGATGTACTACTGTAAGTAGAAGGAAAGAATGAACAATTCATGTCTATTTTCGTGTCCTGACGGATTCCTTATTTATACTCTACTACTGTAAGCTGTCTTGATCGTAATAGTATCGGCATAGTTGACGCTGCTGTCGCCGCCGTGCCGCCGGCGCCATACAAGATATCGTACGCGAGTACTGAAAAGAATTATGACGAATAGCCGCGTGGCTTGCGTTAGAGTGTAGAGTTTGCGGAGGGGATGACGTTCCCCCGTTACTTTTCATCTGTCGCGATCTGCCAAACCTCGAAACGAGCTAATCTCGCTGATATACCTCACGGCGATTGAAGGATGGATACTTCGGGCCACCCTCGCGCTCGCAAAAAATAGACCCGATGTCGGGGGGTAAGTTGGCGTCGGGGGTCCGACGGGTTTCCTGGTGCGCTGAACCTCCAAGGAGCTCCGCCGCGCTCGAGTCGTTAAAGTTGAGCCTGATTGTCTGCGGTGTCCCAAGATTGTAGTAAGGCGACGAAATCGCCAATACGGTCGCGAGTAGATTTATGGTCGTTCACGACAGCCCATGAGAAATTCAGCGCCATCGTCGTCGATTTAGTCTTTCCCGATGATCAATAAATCCGAGAGCCCGTCGAATGCAATCTAATAAAATCTTCGCCTCCTCGGTAACTCGAGCGATACACGGGCTCGATCCGAGTCATGTCTGTCAGGACTCAGACTCAGTATCGTCGCGGAGTAAGTATCCTAAACGGGAATTTGAGTCTTTTGAGCGGGGGTATTAATGTTGAGTGCACTGTCACGGTGGCGCAGCTGCGTATTAGTGGGAAGTCCATCACCTTCAGAGTGGTACTACAGCATCTGAAATGGCATGAGAGTGTAAGAAGTTACAAAAAGCATTCAGCTGATATAGAATATATGACAACTGTGAGATTCGAACTCACGCCCTTTCGGACTAGATGATCTCTATGACCTGATTCTAGCGCCTTAACCGCTCGGCCAAGTTGCCATACATGCTTGGAAGAGCTCGCCCAATTGTTATACCTGTACTTGTATAGGTTCGCATGCTGCATAAAGCTCGAATTCCAGTAGTACAGACAGAGATACTGATACGCCGATGCGTTTTGGTGCACCGCCAGGTATATCACTGAAGCACATTATATTGGCTTACCTAGGCAATCCCGCGACTGTCGCTGCTATCTATGTATAGCGCGGAAAGGTTCCAGGTGCCTGGAGGACATTTACCGAAAATCGAGCTAGACGACGTGTAACGCGGACCCGTAAATCCACCGGTGACCACGAATCCAGGAGCTTCGAGGTTTCAGCCTGATCCCAATTCTCCGCATTTGCCCTGGGCACTCGAGTCCGCCCGTGACGAGGGCGGGGAAATTTGTATTGAATATCTGTAGTTCGCGATGTTGATGGTGGTGATGTACAAACTCAGACCGAGGCGCCGGGAAGAGCGGGGTTGGTTGAATGAGGAAGGCAAGTGAATGTAGACCGCTCTGGATTGGAGAAGACGAAGCTCGAGAAAGAGGGGAATCAATTACTATTGGAGACATTCGGGTGTGGCAGCAAATAACGTGAAGTTGGGGTCTAGCATGTGTTTCCCCGCGTCGTTCAGCACAGATTCCGTTTCCCCAGATGTGGACCCCCACATAGCCATCAGCGGTGTGCCATCATCACGTACAGTATGGTTATGAGGGCAGGAAGCAGCGGCATGGCAGCGGGCATACTTCCATCTCTGAGTTCGAGGCCAGCTGAGCCCCGTTCTATAGTACTCTGGATTTAAAGCATGCTTCTGAGCGGAGCGGCGAGTCGCGTCGTTGCATCAACACGTCCAAGTCCAGATGCCGGGCCGTAATCAGTATCACGGCCGAAAATCGCAGGAGTCGGCATGGACGGAAGCAAGATAAAGAGACGTGCCGATGGGTGGCATGACCTGGGGAACCGACGCGACAGCGTTCAACAAGTTTTGAATAACGATCGAGGTGAGCTGAACAATTTGTAGCGGTGTCTGCTGACCTGGGGTAATCGGAAGGGGTACCAAGGAATTTGTAGGGGGAAGGAGGTCCAGCAAAGCGTCCGAGAGAATCCGGCCCTATGAACGGAGATAGACGCGAACTGGGTAGGGCACGAACGAGGGCAAGACAGGGTCAAGACCGGCGTGGATGAGGTGGTACAGGTGATTCTGCTCTAGACTATAGATAAAGTACGTTGCCAGGCCGCAATTCATGGGCACTTGGCACCCCACTTTGTCAGAGAACAAAGGTGGAGTTTCTACGCGGGGAAAGGCTGCTCCGCTGCGGGGACGGACCGGAACGGGAAGGGAAAGATATCACGCCGAAAAAAGATCGGCGCATGGAAAAGGAAGGTCCCTGCTTGCTCTTGTCTTTGTTACCACCACCATCCGTCCCCAGTCTGACGGACAGTCATCATTGTCTCAAACATTGACAACGCTGGACGATGCACGAGAAAGTCGTGCCGAGGCCCTACAAATGCCCATACCCTCTTTGCGGGCGCGCGTTCAGCCGCCTCGAGCACCAGACTCGCCATATCAGAACTCACACTGGCGAGAAACCCTTTGTCTGCGCCTTTGTAGGCTGCGAGAAACGCTTTTCTCGCAGCGACGAGCTTACACGCCATTCGCGCATTCATAACAATGCTCCTACGCCTGCCGTTACCGCTAATAGCGCAAACGCAGAGCGCAAGGAGACAAGGATCAAGAAGAAGGCAAGAAGTCGGGCGGGCAGCGATGATGAGGTGTGTATTTGCCGATTCTAATCGATGTCCATATGGTTGATTTGATTTTTCCTCAAGGATTATGCGCGACCCACGGCAGTCGGTTCCTATGATGTGCCTCATTCCAGGCGGAGCACGCCTTTCACCACACTTTCGAGTGTCGCGATGGACGAGTTGTATGCATTGGAAAGGGAGGAGGCCTTGCGCCGTGCAGAATACGAGGCGCGCCACGCTGATGCACTGCGGAGGGCGGAATACCAGTCTCGAACGGTGGAGACGCCATTCTCGTTCAGGATGAGCAAGAGCGCGACCACGTCACCCACTACAGAAATGCACGGTAATGGTTATTTCGGCATCTCCAATGCCCGCGACGACGACGACGAGCCTTTGCCTACGGAACAACGCAAGATCACCCGTCGGTTGTCTGGTCCCGCGTGGCAGATGACACCGTTTGAGCACCACCACTCGAACAATTACCACATGCATCATGACCGCCACCATCCATACCATCGCCCGCACAGCCCTTCGCCACAATCGAGTGATTCCGATGGCCCGCATGTACCTCATTATTCTTCCAGTCTCCGCACCAGCGCTACACATACCCCAAGCACATCTCCATTTCTCGGCCCGCTTCGCTCTCTCCAGCTGCACAGCGCAGATCCGTCTCGCGCTCCCAGTCCCACACTTATGTTACCGCCGCCGAGCATACCGCACCATAGTTCCGGCACTCCGCCTAGTAGCCGAAGTCGCAGTGGTTCTCCTCCCCACAGTAACAACCATCACCATGTGCATCATCATCTAGCCCATTCAGTTCGGATGGCGTTTGGCATGACTCCGATACATGCGAGTAGCCACCAAACTCATCCTCATGCGTATTCCCATCCTCCACCTAGTACGCCTAGTACACCGGATTCGAGCACTAGCAGTTTACACACACCTATCACGCTTGCGCCACTAAAGATTGGCGACGATGAGGGCGAGGATATCAAGAAGGGCGAAGAGTTGCCTGGCTTCAGTCTCTTTGAGGCCGCTGTACGCGGCGAGGGCGGAGCATGGTAGATGTCAGATTGGGTTTTTGATTTTATGATTTACAGTATTTTTTTCGTTTTCCTGCTTTGAGGACTCTCTCTCTTCAACACAATTGTATCCACCACCCTCCCCGCTCATGACCACTTGATACCATCTATAGAGATAGAACATACATAGACTATACTATTTATTTGAGAGCTGTTCCAAGTTCGTTCGAGGTATATATTTGTTGTGCTTCTAATACACCCTTCTCGGTTTCTGTGGTTCCATGAATGGCTGAGACGGTTGGACGCGACTGGAATGTAAGCGACTTTGCTACATCGACGTACGTGGATCTGTGTGGAGGCGGAGGTGGGGAATTCAATAGGTTTCTTGGGGTATCAAGGGAAGGCCATCGATGGGATGTGAGAGTTATTCGAGGGCTGTTGATCCAGGTAGCGCAGTTGATCTCAACGGCACGGTGAGGTGGCCGAGCGGTCTAAGGCGCCAGACTAAGGTTTAGGTGGCGATCACGATTGTATCTGGTCCGAAAGGGCATGGGTTCGAATCCCATCCTCATCAATATTGGTTTCTATGATTGTTCTTTTTATGCTTTTATACCCAATACTGCTAAGGATCCTCAATAGGGTGGCGCTGTAAACCTCCCGGGGTGTCAGTAACGTTATCGATACCGGTCTCAGGAGGCTCAGGTTTTGAAACTGTCAGTGTTAATAATGGTTTTGATACAGTATCAATACCGTTGAATACCACAGTAAACTCAAGAGGTATCAAAACCAAGGTTTTACTGCGCCACCCTAGGCAATGGGTACGTCAATGTGCGTTCCAGCCTTTGGAGTCTGGACACATTGAATAAGTTTCTGGTAATCCCCCCGTGTAATGGATACAATGGCGACATGTCGCGTACTACCAACAGATTCTAAGACTTGTGAGGACAGTGCATTGGACTCCGGACGGGCTGAATCACACTGGTGACTGCTCTTCCCGCGGCGTTGTGGGACATACCCAATGGAGTCCCGTTTGCTCAAGCATACGCTTACACGAGGTGCTTCTCGCGCCGGGATATTGGAGCAGACTTGTATGAGACGTCAGAGGTAGTACGAAGGAGTATTCATTGATTCAGATAATAAAAAAATATGCATTCTACTTACTCGTACGGGTAGTTTGCGTGCTGGCAGTGGACAACGAGACGCGATGGCAAGATTAGTGCATTGCAAGTTGGTTCGGCAAATGAGACACAGAGGACAATCCAGAGCCAGAGCATTAGCCAGACAAAGAGCTACCGCTAGGAGTAAGCCTCAGTAGACGCTGCAGATTCGCTTATGGAAAGAAATCCGAAGTCAGGAGCACGTGACCGTCCGATTTTCCTTCCGAATCCCACTGTCGCGCCGACTCCATTCTAATTTCTCGTTCCAATGGCCGCAAACGACCTCCTCCAAAACCCTTCAGGACACATTTGCATCTTCCGCTCATTTTCTTCTCCCATCTACCCCAATACGACGAGGAAATCCAGCAGACATTCGGATGGAACAGAAACAGTGCCAAAGATCGACTGCCAAACTTGTCTTCTACTATCTTACCGTGGTAATTACTCATTCAGACTAGCAATTCACTTACAGAGCACGGACCTATATCTTGACATGCACCAGACCATCTTTACCCACGCATGTCTAACTAGCTACGCTTTAAAGGGCTTGCCGAGTGCTTGCCAGTGACACGAGATCAAACATGAGCCAGAAAGAAGATGGGTATTTGGCGATGTCGAACTCCAAGGGCTACAGCCTGGAGCGAGGACTATATCTGTCGTAACGTTCCCGTGGTTGCACCTTGAACAGCCTCTCCGACCTTCTGTAAAACCTCCAGAGTTTACCGAAGTTTGGACAGATCATCATCCTAGTTGAGAATTGGGAATTCTCCATTGCTGTTAACCTTTGTCTCGTGTGCTTTGTATCGCAACCTCCGTTGGCGGGCGCTTAAAAGAACCCTTTGATTGCGTCCGACCCGCTTCCTCGTGTAAGTAACGCCAGTTATCGTTTCCTTTGTTGACTGCGTTCTGACTTATACGCGTAGCCATACGTTCAGATTTCCCACCAACCATGACAGTCTCCTGCCCCTACCGCCCCGACCTCTTTCTCCGAACCGAGCTCAAATCGCTTGATGCGGTTGACAGTGCGCTCCTCGAGTTTAGTACTCTTCTGCAAGAGAAGAATATCAAAAATGTCGTGTTCACCGCTGCACGCA